CCCTTTTTTTTTTTTTTTTTTTTTTTCTTCTTCTTCTTCTTCTTCTTCTGTTTTATTGTTTTATACGGATACTGATGCTGCTGATACTGATACTTATGTTTTATTGTTTTATTTAATTGGTGGGCTTATCTATCTTTTTTGTTCTTTCTGAAATGGGGTTTTAATAGCTGAAGAAATTGTGTTTTTTTTTGGTTGCATTTTGACCATATATGTAGTTGCTGTTGTGTAGTGCTTGTAAGAGGGTATTTCATATTTGGAGTTGTGAAATGTGAATGTAGTGGTTTTCATGGGTAAGATCAGTTATGTAGTTATGGAATATTGGATTCAGGAGTAGATTTGGTTACAGGCATGGTACTTTGGATGCATGAACTGATTATGCTAATGTTTCAGAACGTAGATTTGTTTGTTTGTGCTTATTGTTGGGTTGTCACTGTGCTTCCTTCTTCTTGTTGGTGGAAGGAGTTTCTTTACAACTTAACCTTGAGAAGAAAATCTTTAGAGTTTAAGTTGATTAATTAAGAAGCTCAATTGATCACTTTAACAACAACAACAACAACAACAACAACTTACCTAGTGTAATCCCACAAGTAGAGTCTAGGAAGTGTTGCGTGTATGCATACCTTACCACTACCTTGTGTTAGGTAGAGAGGCTGTTTGTAGTACTATAAATAAAAGAGCGTGTCAAGTTGGATGTTAGTTAGCCTCTTCACAGTTTGAAGTGCTTAATCCCTCCCTCAACCCCACCCCACCCCGAAAGAAAAAAAAAGGAAACTTAGATTTGAGATTTGGCACATTTTGTACTGAGGCTAGTGCATTCACTATGCATCTTACTAGTGTTTGCTTCTTCACTAGTAGAAAAAAGAGTAGACCGGTGCATGAAACATCCCCCTTTATGATAATTAATTTGAGTGTTTGTGGTGTCTCATTTTGGTGACATAGATTTGAGGCACGTGTTCATTCAAAGTATTTAATTTCAAAAGTTCGTTACTGTTTTTTCTGAGCCCGTGCAATTGCATTTAATGAGCTGTGATCTCATGGTGGGATTTTATTTGGAAACATATATGGTTGCATGAGTTATATGTCTTTTGGAAATTAAGGGGAAATTTAATTCAGAATAGCTCTTTATGACTTTTGAATGATATTAGAGTACACATCTCCAAGAGTTCATGGTGTTTAGTTTTGTCCTCTCTGGAAAAAGATACTTCTCTGATCATTTGTCAAGTTTTTGACGTTTACTTGACTTTATTGATAACTGAAGCTGGAACTCTCAGTTGTGATGTAATAGCATTATTGGTGTATGGGGCCTTGTCCCTCATCGACCAAACACGAGGGCCTTGGACAGTTTATAAGCTCCCCCCCTCTTTACTTTTGCGAGGCCCTTTTTAATAGCAAAATCTGCAACACCCATGCGTAAAGGGAAAATACGTCGTGGGAATTGGTTTCTTAATTTGAAATTAACAAATATTGCTGTTTAGTGGAATGAATGACCATCTGCTGCTAACCAGGTCCTACTTCTGGGGGACCATATTGGTGAATGAAACCCTGTTACACATTGATGAAAGATGAGGTTTTGGCTCCTATCTCTACTTTATGATGTGCCTTTCTGACCTGTGCCTAGGCAGGAGAATACATTGTGGGGAAATGTTCACTAATTAGAGCATCAACATGCACTTTATTCTGAATGCTTGCTTAGTTGAATAAGTTGGAGGTGGGTGGTAGGAAGACTTACTACGAGTCTTGTCTAGTGTTGGATAAGTAAATCTGTAATTTGTTCCCTCTGCACGGAGAGAATTGATAATGACTTAGTTTTGGTTCATGGAAGTTGGAGGAGTGTTGGATAGATGGAAGTTTGTTTTTTCATTTGAGGTTTTAGAAGTGGTGGCTGATGTAATATTAGTCAGTTCAATTTTTATATTCCCCTTGGACCGAAGAAACTAACCTAGGACATATAGTTGAATTTACTGAAATTCATTAGCTAAACTGCTGCCACTTTTGCTGCTTGCCCCCTGGCCTCTACCATTTCCACCTAATTATTCATGTTTCCTAGTTGTGGATTGTAATTTAACTTATTTTTCTGTGTAAAAACTATTGTCATTTAACCTATACCAAATACTTTCAAAGAAAAACCTTCTTCCCAACTCAAAATAATCTAGTGAAGGTATAAATGTATTAATAATGTTCAGAAGATGTGAACATGAAATTGAATATCATATGAAAGTCAAATATTATGAAACATTAAATTTATATAAGATCTTGAATTTTGAAATTGGTAGACAGTAGTGTTAATGTGTCATATTATTGCGACAAATCAAAGGAAGGAGGAGGCATTTTGGAGTGCAATGACATGTAAACTTAATTATGATCCTAGGAATATATTTTAACTGTTTGTACAGAATCTCTGAATTGCAATGTTGGCACCATCATGCCTTAAACATGTTCTTTTCACTTGCTAGTTGCTGAGCCATTGCAGGTTCTTATTAATAGAACTACCAAAACTGGAGTTGCTTTCATCTCGATTGAGTATTTGAATTAAAGCTCAAAGAAAGGTTCTGTTTTGAGCTAGTTTCTAATAAATTTTTTAAATCATTTCATAAAAAAACTCCATCTATTTCAATTTATATGACATTCTTTCTATTTTAGAGCGTACCAAAATGCTTGAACCGTTGACACCACCCTGTTGTTCTGTGTAAGTTTCACAACTTTCAAGTTTTCAAATTCATTTCAACTTTTGAACATTTGATGTGATGTTTTGTTATGAAACCAACTTTTTAACCACAAGTTAAAATGTTTGTCCACTACCACAACTAGTATAATTCATAAATTTGTTCAACATCTTAAACTTTGTGTCCAGTTATACAAATGAAAGAAGTATAGTAAATTTAGGTTGCAGTTATGCGATAATATGCACACCCAGTGGCGTACACATGAATTTTCGTAAGCGATGTCAATATTTGAAAAAGTGAACAAATGAATAAATTACTGTAACGGCAAGCGGTGACATTTTTTATATTTATACCCAATATTTTAATTTTATTTATTATTTATACATATATGTTATGAATAAAATTCGACGAAGCTGTGTTACGTGACACCGCTTTAAGCAAGTTGCCTACGCCCCTGTGCACACCCTCATTGCTAATATGTAGTCACCCCCAACCCCAATCTCTTAGTGAATGCACTTTATAGATTTGTAGTAAATATCCTCATTGCTTTTTTGTTATGTCCACAAAAAGAATTTGTATTAAAAGTACGATTATTTGCTCTATTGCTTGTATGTGCTATATCTTTGCTATTCGCCGTGTTTGTAGAAAGGATAGATGGTTGGCATCTCCTCCGATAGGGATGGGAAGGCACTTCGAGTTGTACCTGTTACCAGACACTATATCTCTGTACTAGCCTCTTAGTCTAGTGCTGAAGGTATTCAAAACTTAACAAATTTGCACGGTGCAGTGACTTATGTGCTACTGACAGCTTTTAGAGTTGGCTAAGCGACCTTTAGCCTAAAGGGTCTATACTCTTGAAATGGCAAATGTTTAATGCACCTTGTATGAGTTGGCTAATGCACATGCTCGTTGTGTTTTTGCCTTGTGTATGCTTACTACTTATTGAACGGGATGTTGTTTGACTGCTTGTCCAGTTCAAATATTGAGCATTCTTGCCCCAACTCTGGATGCTGCATTTTCTTTAATTTGCTGCTTCTTTTGGTGTTCATTTTCACTTCATGCTTTTCAATATGACTCCCTGCCTCTCACTGTGAAGTTCAGAAGGCTTCTTTTGTAGCTTCTGGTCCTATCCTGTACAAAATTTCCTTAAGAGTGCTTTGTCTTTGTTGTGAGAGCATCCAGGAGAAATATTTTTGATCTTCTTTCTATGGCTTATTCTTTTTTCCATTTTTTTGCTGGTTAATCAGGACACAAAAAGGAGAAAAGCAAACGAGATTCTGTGTCAAAAAGGAAGGCACCTGCAACTGACAAGAAGGAAAAGAAACAGCCTGTTTCTGAAGCTATTGAGGAGCCCACTGCTGCACGCAAAAGGCCCAAGCGAGCTGCTGCTTGTTCAAATTTTAAAGAGAAAAATGTTCATTTATCAAAAAATTCTGCAGTCATTGAAACAAAGAAGGACCAATGCGTAGAGGAAGAGGTTTTGGCTATTCGGTTAACTGCGGGTCTACAGGATTCTCAGCGACCCTGTAGAAGACTAACAGATTTTATCTTTCATAATTTGGAAGGAATACCACAACCTTTTGAAATGTCTGAAGTTGATGATCTGTTTATTACTGGTCTCATTTTACCACTTGAGGACAATAATGACAAAGAAAAAGCAAAAGGAATTAGATGTGAAGGCTTTGGGCGTATTGAAGAATGGGCTATCTCTGGCTATGAAGATGGAACTCCTATCATATGGATCTCAACAGAGACAGCTGATTATGATTGTAAAAAACCCTCAGGTGGCTATAAGAAGTTTTATGACCACTTCTTGGCCAAGGCAACAGCTTGCATTGAGGTTTACAAAAAGCTGTCGAAATCTTCTGGAGGAAATCCTGATTTAAGCCTTGATGAGTTGCTTGCAGGGGTTGTCCGAGCAATGAGTGGTTTAAAATGCTTTTCAGGTGGTGTATCAATCAGGGACTTTCTCATTTCTCAGGGAGAGTTTGTCTATAAGCAACTTATTGGTCTGGATGATACATCAAAGAAGACTGATCAGCTTTTTGTTGAGTTACCTGTCCTGGCTTCCCTTAGAGATGAAAGTAGCAAGCAGGAAATGCTTTCACAACCAGAGCCTTTATCATTTGGTAAGACTCTAACTATAGGTCCAAAAGTAGGCAAAGGAGAAGGCAAGAGAGATCAATCTGATTTAATCACTGGTCCAGAACAAGAAGAGGAAGATCTGAAATTGGCCAAACTGTTACATGAACAGGAGTACTGGCGCTCCTTGAACCAGAAGAAAAGCCGTAGTACAACTTCCACATCTAGCAAATTTTACATCAAGATCAATGAGGATGAGATTGCAAGTGATTATCCTTTACCTGCATATTACAAGACACCTAATGAAGAGACCGATGAGTATATCGTCTTTGACAGTGGGGTTGATACATACTATATTGATGACTTGCCTCGCAGTATGCTTCATAATTGGGCATTGTACAACTCAGACTCAAGACTAATTTCTTTAGAGCTCCTGCCTATGAAACCATGTGCTGATATTGATGTAACCATATTTGGGTCTGGAGTGATGACTGCTGACGATGGATCTGGATACAATGTTGACACTGATGCTAATAATTCCTCTTCAGGTGGTTCTGGATCAGTTGAGATTGATGGAATGCCAATTTATTTGAGTGCAATAAAAGAATGGATGATTGAGTTTGGGTCCTCGATGATCTTTATATCTATTCGGACTGATATGGCCTGGTATTATGATTATCCTCTTAGTGGTTGAATTATTTTGCAACTACTTCCCTTTGTTATGCCAATTGCTGGGACTGCTTTCTTTATTTTTTGCTGTTTTTTTGTCCTTTTTATTTTGGTTCAGCGGATTTATTGTAAATGCTTTACTCATGCATACTATTTCTCTTCAGGTATAGGCTTGGGAAGCCATCGAAACAGTATGCTCCTTGGTATGAACCAGTCCTAAAGACCGCGAAGCTGGCAGTGAGCATTATTACTTTGTTAAAGGAACAGAGTCGTTGTGCTAGACTTTCTTTTGGAGATGTCATTAAAAGGGTTTCAGAGTTCAAGAAAAACCATCCTGCTTATATATCATCTAATACAGATGTGGTGGAAAGATATGTGGTTGTACATGGACAGATTATTCTGCAGCAGTTTTCAGAATTTCCTGATGAAAGCATTAGGAAGTGTGCATTTGTGATTGGTCTCTCAAGGAAAATGGAGGAGAGGCACCATACAAAATGGTTGATTAAGAAGAAGAAGATTGTGCAGAGACATGAACAGAACTTAAATCCTAGAGCATCTATGGCGCCATCTGTAAAAAGGAAAGCTATGCAGGCTACTACAACAAGGCTAATCAACAGAATCTGGGGGGAGTACTATTCCAATTACTCACCTGAGGCGTCAAAGGAGGTTGTTGCTTGTGAGGTGAAGGATGATGAAGAAGCAGATGAGCAGGAGGAAAATGACGAGGATGATGCTCAAGAGGAGAACTTGGAAGTTTCAGAGAAAACTCATACACCTTGCTCTACAAGAAGGCATATTAAGTCACGTTCTGACAGCAAAGAAATAAACTGGGATGGGGAATCCATAGGTAAAACAGCGTCTGGTGAACTGTTGTTTAAAAAGNGAAACAGCTTCTGGTGAACTGTTGTTTAAAAAGGCTAGAATTCATGGAAATGAGATTGCTGCTGGAGATTCAGTTCTGGTGGAACATGATGAACCAGATGAACTTCCTTCTATTTACTTTGTCGAATACATGTTTGAAAAATTGGATGGTAGCAAAATGCTCCATGGAAGAATGATGCAACGAGGATCTGAAACTGTACTTGGAAATGCAGCTAATGAAAGAGAGGTATTTTTGATCAATGAATGCATGGATTTGCAACTAGGAGATATCAAAGAAAGTGCAGTTGTCAGTATCAGGATGATGCCATGGGGACATCAGCATAGAAAAGCGAATGCTTATGTTGATAAACTTGATAGAGCAAAAGCAGAAGACAGAAAGAGGAAGGGATTGCCATCCGAATTTTATTGCAAAAGCTTTTATCAGCCTGACAGAGGTGCTTTCTTCAGACTTCCGTTTGATAAGATGGGTCTTGGTAATGGCTTATGTTACTCCTGTGAGTTGCAGCGAATTGATCAGGAAAAGGAATCTTTTAAGTTGGATATGTCCAACTCCAGTTTTGTATATCTGGGGACTGAGTATTCAATTGATGACTTTGTTTATATACACCCTGATCACTTTGCTGTAGAAAGAGGGGGAAGTGGAACTTTCAAAGCTGGGAGAAATGTGGGGTTGATGGCCTATGTAGTATGTCAACTACTAGAGATTTTTGGTCCCAAGGGATCTAAACAAGCTAAAGTAGATTCTACCAACGTCAAAGTCAGGAGATTCTTCAGACCAGAGGACATTTCTTCAGATAAGGCATACTCTTCTGATATTCGGGAGGTATATGCTACTTAATATAACTTATCTCCCCCACTAATAGCTGGTTAGAGTTGTAATATATCACTCTTGCTATGTCATGTTAGGAAGTTTGTTTAATCTGCTAAGTAATTATTAGGGTATTTTAAGGTTCCTACATAAAGCTTCTAGCACTGCTGAATTTTTTGATTGCTGCTTTCTAGATCTACTATAGTGAGGAGATACATACAGTTCCGGTAGAAACAATTGAAGGTAAATGTGAAGTGAGGAAGAAGTATGATATTCCGTCTGAAGATGTCCCTGCCACCTTTGACCATGTTTTCTTTTGTGAATATTTGTATGATCCATTGAATGGATCCCTCAAACAGGTACCCATTTCTTAATTTCTAGCGGCAATTGGTCTAGTTCTTTCCCTTTCATTTTATCAATCCTATTGCTTTGGATTCTACTATTCTTGTGAAGTCTAATCTGTGTACTGTTGAGCAGTTACCAGCTCAGGTAAAGCTGAGATTCTCAAGAGTTAAACTAGATGATGCTGCATCTAGGAAGAGAAAGGGAAAAGGCAAGGAAGGAGAGGATGAACTGAGAGTTGGGCAACTAAATGTAGCTTCTCAACAGAATCGTTTGGCCACACTAGATATCTTTGCTGGTTGTGGTGGCCTGTCTGAGGGGTTGCAGCGTTCGGGTAACTACCTTCTCTCTCTGCTCATGTGTAGTTTTAAATGGATGTAGTTCGAACTTTCGGTCTGAAAGTTTCGTTCTTTCAGGTGTCTCAGATACAAAATGGGCAATTGAATATGAAGAGCCTGCTGGAGATGCGTTTAAACTTAATCATCCAGAGGCAAAGGTGTTCATACAGAATTGCAATGTGATTCTGAGGTATATAATCTTTACTCTTTCCTTTGTGAACATTATAATCTAAATACATAACAGTAGTAACCAAATAATGGTTTCAATTCAGGGCTGTCATGCAAAAGTGTGGAGATGCTGAAGACTGTATCTCAACCTCAGAGGCTTCTGAATTAGCTGCAGCAATGGATGAGAACGAACTGAATAGTTTGCCACTGCCAGGACAAGTGGACTTCATAAATGGAGGCCCTCCTTGTCAGGTTTGTTCACATCTATCCTGATGTTTACTAAACCTTGTTATCTTATAATGGTGGTGCATGTTCTTTTTGCAGGGGTTTTCTGGAATGAATAGATTTAATCAGAGCACCTGGAGTAAAGT